GTTATGGTCTTTGGGAGGAAACTGTTCTTGAGTCTGTGGATCTTTGTGCTGATGCACCTTCCCTGAGGGAAGCAGATTGAACAGGTTAAAACCAGGGTGGGAGCTATCTTTGATGATGTTTTGCTGCTCTGCTGAGGCAACGGGAGGAATAAATGTCCATCAGGGAGGGGAGAGGGCAGCCGTTGATCTTCGGTGCTGCCTTGACTACACCCTGAAGCCTCACTCTGTCCGTCTTAGTGCAGCTGTCGTACCTGTGATGCAGTATGTCAGCAGGCTCTCAATAGACGAGCGGTAGAAGGACAGCAGCAGGTTGGAGTCCAGCTTGTACTTCCTCAGGACCGTCAGGAAGTGCAGCCACTGTTGGACCTTCTTGACATATGCTGAGATGTTGTCTGTCCAGGAGATGTCAGCAGAGATGAGGACACCAAGGAACCGGATGGTGTGGACCCTCTCCACACACTCCCCGTTGATGTAAAGGAGTCTAAGTCAGTGCTGTGCCTCCTGAAGTCGACAAAAACCTCTTTGGTTTTCTTAGTGTTCAGCTCCAGGTTGTTTTCTGAACACCAGGCTGCCAGCTTCAGGACTTCCTCTCTGTAGGCTGCCTCGTCTCTCTTTGGGACTGGCTCAGCACACAGCCCTGTGGGGAGCTGGTGCTCAGTGTGCGAGTGGAGGAGAGATGAGGGCGGAGTCTTACAGTCTGGGGCCGGTTTGTGAGAAAGTCCTTTATCCAGGCACATGTGAGAGGAGCGAGGCCAAGAGTGACCAGTTTTGTGATGAGGATGTCCGGGATGATTGTATTGAAAGCTGAGCAGTAGTCCACAAAGAGCATTCGGATGTAGCTCTGCCGCTGTTCTAGGTGACTCAGCACACGGTGGAGGGCTATCATCACGGTGAAGGGAATGCTAACTGCAAGGTTCAAAAGGAAAGATATGGGGAAACTCAAACATTTTCTTGGTATTGATTTTGAGCAAACCAAAGATTGTGTAAAAATGTCGCAAGAGAGATATGTAGAAAACATACTGGAAAGATTTCAAATGCAAGACTGTAAACCAAGATCAACTCCTTGTGAACAAAAGTTGAACTACAATGATGATACTGAGAAAATGAACAATGTCAGAATGTACAGAGAGGCAGTACGTAGCCTTATTTACTTGACCTCTTGCACACGACCAGATTTTAGTTTTGTTGTAAGTAAGCTGTCACAGCACTTCAAAGAACCAGCTGTGGAACATTGGACTACTGTGAAACATGTTCTGAGGTATTTGAAACAATCAAAAGACAAG